TATATATTATATATAGTTTTACTTGGGATGACGATGATGGAAAGAATACACAAGAGAACCTTATTATTGATGGTCCCTATTTTACTATTGATAATTTCTTACTATCAACGATACCTAAAAATAATAATAAAATATATTTTTACTATTTATAATCTTTTAATTATCAATCATACTTTTATTCCCGTAATCCTTTTATTTTATCCATCAAAATCCCAACTATGTATGTCGCTCCTAGCCACTCCACCATCCGATACTATTGATGTCACTAGACGAGCCAAGGAGGAGAAGAAACAATCGCAAACTAAGAAAAGATGCTTGTCTAACGTTGCTCGCGGTCTCTATAAACCACTCGCCACTTATGACTGGGGATTGGGAGAAGAAGAAGGAAAAAAAAAAAAAGGAAAAGATGATGAGACATTTACATCCATTTGCATAAGGATTACTTAGAAATTAAAATTAAATTTTCTAGGGACGCTTGTGCTAAACAGCGCGAAAAGAAAAGTGCTTCTTCACCGGCATTATTGACCTCCCTTGCGTTGCGATTTCACGTAGAAATGGACCACGAGGATATACTTATCGGCCGAGCGTGGCTTTGAGTAGGCCGTAACTTCTAAGCGGGCACACCATGAGTGGTTTCATAGGTGCGGACTTGCTACTAAGCTTTATGCACGGAGCAAAGTTTAGTCGATGAAGCTTACGTGCTGTTTGGATTTACCTGTGCCATCGAAGGAGTACCCGTGAGAGTGAGTATATCTTGTGTGGCTGCTGTAGTAAGGAAAGTAATGCAGTATAGTCGACATGGGAATTCTTGATGTTATTAAAGCAAGCTGTGAAAGTTTCATTTGATGGTGTTGAATCATCATTCATGGACATCGATCCCAACTATTGAAACAGATATTTTACACACAACAAGATAATTGAAATATGCCCCATTCCTTCTTTGTCAAGATGAGATCCCCTTAAATATAAAAATAAGAATAGAATTCAGATGAATAATAGAATAATTATATTGGTCATACACTTAAAGAAAACACCATGAACTTGTCCCTGTTGCTTCCATCTCCTTCGAGCATCATTTCCTTCTTTGTTTATAGTCTCGACAACATCATCATCATCACCAAAGCTGCTACTTCTGCATGCCAAGTTAAAGAAAATCACTCTGCAATAATCCTGTTGCCATAAGCTTTTGAAGCATGGATGCTCTGGAAAAGATTAACCATACCTTGTTGGTTGGTCATGACAATCTGCCAAGTATCACAAATTACTAAAGTCTCAGAAATCATACTAAGTCACATGAAGCCTGTCCAAAAAAAATTTAATATTGCTAGAAAAAAATTAAAAGCACTTCACAATAATTTGCAACATTGAACTTTGTATAAGACAATATCTTAAATAAAAAACATTGGAAATTCCAGCTAGAGAAAAATATAGGCATGCAAGATGCATCCTCAATATTGCTAGAGATCACTATCTATATCCAAGCACATTAACTGCAACGACCACCATATACATCAGATTGCCAACATAACTCATCCATTCCAACAATGGCTCTAATGATGACCTACTTTTTAGTTTGAGATCCCTTTTAAAGGACAAGTAGATGTAAATAATTTTGTTAAAAACCAAAATCACTTAAAACTCTAATGAGTAGCATTTTGACAAACTGGACCACAGAAAGAGCAGCTGAATGATATAAAAAATGATGCAACAACATCCTTTACAGGTTACCAGGGAGTAAGAACTACTAAACATTATAAAGCCCATTTAACAGGACACCATGGTAGAATTAGCACCAAGCAATGATGTTCAATCAATGGCTATCTTTGTTCCTGAAAGAGCTTCAGGAGATTGCCAAGTGCTGTACCACTCATATGTAAAGGAAACACAGTAAACTGTACACCATTGTATAATGCACAACAAATCATGATTTAGCTCTGGGGGAGTTAGCACAAAAGAAAAGTTTAAAAACAAGGAAGAAAAAAACTGGTATGGAGATTTCTCCAATAATCTCAAGATATCATCCAGACACCCACTTATTTCCCATCTGGAACTGGGAAGCTAAGAAATTAGCTTCCTAAAACATGGGGATTTAGTACCTGTAAAATAGGAAATTCAGGGGCTAAGGATGATGAAGATTCGAAGATAAGCAAAAATCGTGCATAAATTCCCCCAGCCAAATAGTCAAACAAAAAGTAAGAATTTCCTTTAGAACTTGATCCTTAATTTGAACTTCTGGAGAAATCCCAGGATTTCTAATCATGATATACCAAACAGAGCCTAAAATTAAGATTACTTCTTACTCTCAGGAATCAATAGGACGGTGTTATATATGTGTAAATTGCATTCAAATAAGAATAATCTAATTGTTCAACAGGACATAAGTGAAATTGTGTTTTAGCTTCCTTCTGAACTTAGAGACGATTATACAACAGCCTTTCTTTGCTCAATTTAATAATAAAAGTTATAGAAAAAATGTTAAGCTGAAAATGCATCCTAATCAAATTCCACATGGAAAGGGAAATTCTCAACTGTATCAAAACATCATAAAAGCATAAAGATAGACAAGTCATATCTGATTTGTATCTTATTTGGCTTGTTGCTTGACTGGAGATAATGCTGTTTGACCAATCAATCAGAATCTGATAAAAAGTAGAAATTAAAAAAATTGCTAATTAACAATCTCATTAAGTAGAAACTAGGTTGCCAATTATAGAAAATAAACTTACCAACACTGCACATCTTCTTGAAGCACCAAATAGTAAAGTTTGACATCAATCTCACCTTTATTAACAATAAATTAATGACTACAATTATGTACTGTCAACATTCTGCTCATCCAATGTGTATTAACTAAAAATAAGGGAGATAGTATAACTGCACTTTCTCAGTGAAGCTGCAATCAAGTTATGCAAACACCAATGCATTCTCCATCTCGAAATTTGTAAAAAACACTCATTGCCATACAACACTTCTAAGCAGGTTACCATCCAGACAAATAAAATGTGGTGCAAAACCATCTGCAAGACTAAAGCTGTGATTTGCTAACATCTTTAAGTCTAAAGCCATCACTGCAAACTCGAAACAGTATACACTTGAGACAGTAATATGACACTTAATATAACCCAAAAACACCTTTTCCAATATGGTGCGAGCTTTTTGTCCTACCCCTACTTGTACATCTTCTGCTGCTTCTCAAAGGGGTCAGATAGAAGCGCAGAAGTCCATTATCTAAGTTCCCTGGGGAGGAATAATGAACGCTTCGGCTTCGACCAAACTTGAATTGACTTCTCATTTGCCATTCAGGCTTCAGGTTCCTCAAATCACCATTAGCAAAATTAATACTTCGGTGTAGATAATGATTTCCTTCAATAGAACCATGACGATTACCATTGAATTGTAATGCACCATCAATTTCCATGCTTTCCACACTGTTATTCTTGCGTCCTTGCCAAGTCTCTGATGCAGATCTCTGCAGACTGTGATCATGTTTTTTCACGAAGTCTTTGAAAGAGCTAGTTATACTCCAGTCCCACACCTTACTCCATCCACGTGACTTTTTTCCTCTGATTCTTGCCACAGATTTACCTGGTTGAGACTCTTCATAAAGCCTTTCTACAAAAAGTGTCTCTAAGCTGCCATCAGATGAAATAGGTTTCTCACCAGACATGGGCACATTAGTAACTTTGCCTCTGTCAATGTCATCTGTAGCCTGAACAGGATTTTCGGACATTTTTTCACCAGGACAGTTTCCTTTGGTCCTTAGATCATTTTCTCGTTCTTCAAGGCAGGCAAATGAGCATGCTAGCGCTCTGCTAACCATCGAACCATCCCATGAATGTCTAGGAGGATCCCAGGAACTCTTGTTTAAATCATGGCATGCCCTCCAGTCACAAGAATATCGTGATTTAGGAGGGCTTTCCAACTGTATATCATCAGATGCATTACTCAACTTATCGTCCTGCAGTTTGTCCTTCTTTGAAATGCTCCTCGTCCTCCATATAAATCTTTTCTTCGCCAACATCGAACTCAACCAAAATGTCGTATCTTGGTCCTTCAACTTCTTGTCTTCAATGTTATTGATCTCTTTGGCAATATGAGCACTGATCTTAATCTCCTCAGCAGTATTAGCATTAGTTTCCATCACCTTAGTTCCTTTACAGGAGCTGAGTTTGCTGTTATCACCCTTGAAACGGTTTTCACCACAGGAACTAATTTCACATTCAATTGCACTTGAGGCCGACGGCACATGCTCGTCTGCTGCAACATCTTTGTTGCTGTCAACACTGAAACCATCATCCAGTTGAAACAAGTATTGAAGAGTCCTTCTTACTCTGATCTCACCAGACTTCCTCTTAACATCCGGAATTACATCGAGGACCTCAACTATTTCACTCTGTGTGCTGCAAGGTGCCTCCAGGCTCTCTTCGGCTGCGCCAACATTTGATAACCTCTCAACCAAGCAAGAAGAACAGAAACCAGTGAAAAATTGAGTTGGATGTCTCCCACACCTGGTAAAGTTGTCACTTTCCAGGTTCATCTTGACAAAAAGGTAAACCCCAATTCACAATATCACGGATCAAGCATCTTAGAAGACGGTTGGTCACTCCAAACCCCCAAATTACAACAATGGAGAATAAAGAAGGGGAAGAGGAGTCTTCTTGTCGGAGAAAGCTGACAGCCCAGAAAATCCAACAAAAGACCCGAATTCTACACCGATATAGCAGCAAAAAGGAGGCTTTTTGTAACCCTTTTATCCAAAAGGCAGCAGACCCTACTAATCAAACATTAGGAGTGGCTAAATTACCTTTCACTTCCCAGAAGCCCTTACGTACAGCATCTCGAACAGAATAAAACCCTTAAGCAATTTAGCAACTGAACGGCCAAATTCCCAAGCCTATAATTAAAGGCTCACAAACGCAGCCGTAACAAAAGAGAAGAACCCCACGAGAATCAAAATCCAAAAGAAAAACGACATTTAGTTCGTTCAGCTCAAAGCATGTCACAACCCAGAGGAGGCCAATGGCGAAACAAGAACAAAACGAACCCTAGATCGATGGATTTCACAGTGAAAATTGGGAACAATAAAAAAATAGCACGAATTCGAGGTCAAGTACTACAAACTTTTCAGCGATCGACAGCAAAAGCGAACCCAAGCCGCCGAATCCGATGGAATCTCCCCGAAAATCGATACCAGTGACTCTAAAACCCAGCTTTTTCCATGCGCACGGCGAAGCTCTGGAACAAATCAAAACAACAAATACCAAAACCTCACTTGGGCGAACCCATCGACAACTGGCCCTCATGACCGAACCGTCCTCCATTTTTGACCGAAATAGCAGAAAAACCACTGTCAAATTTTGTTATATTCTATTCGCAATAATAACCTTATCAACGGTCCACAACACGCTGATGTCCGCCGTTCGATCAATTGATATCGCATTCTATGTGACGATAATCTCGTAAAATAAGAACTCTTTAGGACCATTTCCGTAACTGGGGATCTCGATCTGCGGCCGACAGCTTAACCTTGGATGCTTTTGGCTGAAGTTAAGTAGGGGAATTTTAAAATACACGTGGCATAATCCGGCAAGATCTTACAAGGAGCCGTTACATGAAAGCTCTGCAATTGTCGGGCAGCGTGGCAGCGAGAAGACGACACTTTGCATTTAGGCCATTATTATGTTAGCAAATACAATAAAATTCCGACCACTTAATTGACTAAAATACCCCTGCAACGAGCTTTGATTGCCGGATGTGAATCTTTCGGATATGAACGTTATAATTGTTGTCTAATTGTGCCATATGGCTATTGAGCACTTTAACAAACATATATTTACGAGGAAGAGAAGGGAGAATTCATAGTCGAGCTGCGCACCAACCATCTATCGACATGTGGACCGTAACACGTTCTGACCGCCGGATTTGCACGTGGTAGCTTGAACGACAGTGAGAAAACAGAGGCTCTCATCGATGGATGGTCTATATGTGAGGATCAGAGCAATGGGTGGTTGAAATGTGAGGACGGGGTTGTACAATTCCGTGTAAATTGGAGGGGATCCGATGTCAAGCTCCGATGGACCGGGTTTATTGTAGGTGAGTGACGAGTACGGCCCAATTTCTGCTCAATCCGACCCATACGCGTGGATATTTGGCGGCACGTGGCTCCGTCGCAAGTTTAGCCATCCACCATCGCAGGCCCCAATGGGCTACCATACAACGGTCCTCTAAACCTATTGACGTGGCCCACCAAATTGCGGACTGGTAGATGTTGACAATGAGAGGAGACTCCGTTCGCCCTTGGAAGTGCTTGTTCGAGATCGGCTATTCCTTCTATAAACGCCAATTTAGAAATGCCCCATCCGATGTCTTCCACGAAGAACACTCACGTGGGACCTCCATAACAAATCCGAGCTTTCGTTGTCCTCGATATATAGCCGATCCCGACGAGCTCTCCTCTGATACGTTGTGCCGCAGGCGCAACATAGTCTCGCTATTTGTTCTCATTTCCGGCGGTGGAAGTAGCACCGTCGGACCCAATGGCGCACCCCGGTGACATCGTCGTCGCCAGCGCAGCCCGGAAGAATCCCTCCGAGGGGTGCTCCCGCCTCTTCCTCCGCGGTACGGACTGTTTGTTTCAAGAAAATTTCGTATTCATGCACTTTTCTCTGCCTTCTTGGCTGGGCTTGTGGGTTTTGGGGCTGATCGGGTGAAATGGGATTGTCTCAGCCAGGGAGTCGCCGTGGGGACTGAAGGCAGCGATGGTTCTGTTCCATGTGTTCTTTGCTGGCGTCCTCTTCCTCTTGGATAGAGATTTGATACGGAGGACCAAGGAGAAGCCCTGGTAACCACGAACGCTTAGCCAGATTTCTCTTTTTTGGGCTCTTTGTGATCTTGGAAATATGTTTCTATCCAATTAAAAGGACTTCGTTTATGGATGGTTTGTTCAAAGAAGGCGTCTTTACGATTTGCAGACCTTAGATCTTTTATCGGGCCAGAACATCTACTGTTCTTGCTTTTTTCTCTTTTGCTTGGCATTAAGAAGGAAAAGTAGTCTTCCCAGGAGCGTTGAAAGTTGTGATTGGCTTGCTGGTGATTTTGTACTGAGTCATCCACGCCTGTGATATGTATGTGCAACCACATCTTGCAACACGTGTGTTCTAGCTACAAAGGAACATTTGCAAATTTATTGTCGGAGAGACTATGGAGTTGAGGCGGGACTATGAATTTGAACCTTAGAGAACAAACTTTTATGCGCTTCATTTGGCTTCATGCCTTTGACCATAAATATTAGGTTTGAAGGATCTGCTGCATTGGTTGCTTTGAATTTAGACAAAGTAAGTTTCTGTGCAGTGTTTCCAATTGGTTTGAAAAGTTTCTAGGATTATCTTTTTATGGTAAAGTATTTACTAAATGATGATTACCTTCTTTTCTTGCGTGTGTGTGCGAGTAGCCACAGGTGTGGGGTGTTGGAAGGAGTTTGGGAAGTAAGTTGCCTCATTTTCGATATCTCCTTTTCTTGTTGTCTATTAATAAGGAAAATGGTCATGCTAGCATTAAAGTTTTAATACTCTTCATTTCATAATCAAGGTTTTTTTTTTCATTTTTTTTCATGATATTTTGGGGATAGAAATTCGATTCCAAGTAATGTAAGTTGTTAATCATATCAAACAGAGGAGAGATGAGTTAGTTAAAGTTAGAGGTGCTGCAATAGTGAGAGTAGAAAAGAATTATGCTGGTGCTACCATGGTGAAATAGTGAGAAGCATGAACAGGAACAAGGAAGTGTGAACAGAGGAGTGTTGTCAGGTGATGAGATCACAAGTGATACTAGTTAGCCACTTGGAGCAGACAATGGTGAACCCCATTAAGGAACTGTATACAATAAGTAAATGAAGATCAAGGTGTCCAGAACTGGATTATTATACTATGACTTGTCATTGTGCAATAGTTATTGGTGCTTGCAGCAGCTTCAATACTATTTCAAGCGTTTTTTAGAAAGTAGGGAAATAGGGAAACTAAGGTCGTGAAATCATGCTGTGTTATTAGCCATGTTAATGATTTAATGATTGGAACATGCTTGTTGTTATTTTTGTCATTGGAGATTTATTAGACGATCAAGTGTTTCATGATATAATGTATGAGAGCAAAGTGTAAGATTTTGGCCTTTTGATAGGCCGATAGTGTGGTGTACTTGCTGCTCTCGTGCAGCATATACCATTCGTGTGTTGTCTGTTTCATGTATGAGAACTTAATATGGCATATGCCCATGAAATTTGCCAGTTTCGTACCAACATGGCATGCCTTTCATCTCAGTACAAGTAACACCTAACATAGCCTTGATGAGGGTAACATGGAGGACATCGCAGATCGATGGAAAGTAATTTTAAACTTGATGCCCTTGCATTGGACTACTGGGCATTTCATTCCGCTCTGAACTTAAACAAGTTTCAATACAAGGTTGGTTCCCAAAGATATGTTTATCATGGAGAGACTGATGTAATTTAACTCCAAATTCATATAGTGATGTCTGGTAAAAAAATATTTGAGTGACATCAGTGTCATCTTTACATAGTGTTCTAATATTTTTGGATTTCTTAAGGATGTTTTTCACTAAGGAGTCAATTGCTGCATACTGAGATGAGATCAATAATGTTGCCCATGTTTCATCAATTGCAATATTATAAAGAAAGCCCACATGACTTGACAATCATGAAACTAAGAGCACTCTCTTATACATCCAGAGAGGAGAGCATGGTGCAACCGTCTTTTTTATATTGAGGAAAGAAATGGAAAAAGCAAGAAAGGAAAGAGGATAAAAGTTAAAAGCAGTGAGACATATTGTAACTAAGTATCCTTTGAAGTCCTATGTGGTGAGTACTTATGTTCTGAAAAAGAGAGTCACATCTCTCTTAAGTTTTGGTTTGCTACGGGGAAATCCTTTTGCCTTTGAATTTCTGTGCTGCTGTCTCTGCATATTTTTTGCACTTGTTTTTCTCTAAGTGATGTATTTGTTGACAACTTGTGAGAGATTCATATTAGATTATATTAGTGGGATCATCTTGTGACTTTTTGACTTTATAGGTTCTCTGTTTCCAACAATTCTCTCCATATTAAATGAGCTAAACTTTTTCGTAACAAAATTACTTAAAGAACTTTTGAAAGTCGTTACAGTTTAATCATCTATATTCGCTTTGGTTGCACGACAATGGTGGAACATCACCTGATTAACTGTTGCCCTCATTGATGATCTGAATCAGATCTGAAACTTAGTCTAATGTAGGATCTTGCATCTGGATCATGGACTATATGATCACTTGAATGGTAAGATGCATTCATCTTAGCTTCCCAAAGCAACTTTTAATTTATGATTTCTGGTCCTTCAACTTTTAACTTGAGTGGTTCATCTCTCATAAACCACAATTTCTTATCTAACGAAAGTTAGAAACAAAGAAAGGGAGGATTTGGAGTTAGCAAACTAAAATTTATATGTTTCTGTACAGTTGCAATTATTAGTTGAAAATTCAGTTCTAAAATTTTCTACCTCAAATGTGAACAAAATGCATGCATAAGCTTTCTTGCAATTTATGTACATGTAAGTTTATGCATTTGGAATAATTTTCTTGTGGATCAGTTTTCTGTCTACTTTAAATCTGACTTGGATAAAAGTAAATTTCTTGATTCCTCAATTAGTAGAAGAGTGGAAACAAATCATATTGAATATTAAATTCCAAATAAATATGCTTTGATGCGGATGATGATGTTGACTTCGAGTCTTTGCATTTGGTCAGCAGGCTTGTCCCACAGTGAACTACCAGTTGGTAAAACCAACATCAAAAACTTTTCTTGGATATGTGGCATGGTTCATCCTAATTTAACAATGAACTCCTCCCTAGATAGTTGGGACATTATTCCTAAATATGAACTAAATAGATTCTGAGTACTTAATTTTGCTTATTTGGTTACATTTTCTTTCAAATATTTCCAATTTCATGATATTTAAAGCCTTTTTCTACAGCTTTGGAAGAGTAGAAAAGTCTGGATGATCTAAAATCCTATCTGGCACCTCTGTGATTTACAATAAATCTTCATCCCGACAAACTTGGCCCTTGTCCTTTTAATTGTATTCAGAATTTTTGATGAAGTAGAGTTTCTTCTTTCTCCCACAAGCTTCACTAGTTCTAATCACTGGAAACCTATGGGGTTTTATGGTTAGACTTTTTCCTGTTCTATAATTATCATTAAACTCTGTGTCCTGTGAACCTGCACCTATAAATTTTTACCCAGTGGTAAAACACTTCTTTTCAAAATATTCTCGAATCCTCTACTATTTCTTTGATTCCTTTGCAATATGAAATTGTTTTGTTTGCTAGTACCAGCAATCTCCTTTTGTATATAAAGTTGACTTCTTTTTATTTTACTTTAGTGTGCATAATTTGTCTTAATTATATTTTGAGTTATATCAATTAATCTGTTTATGGATTGAAAATTCATTATTGTTTTTTAATTGCATTCTCTTTGGTTATGTTCTTATATTTGCTCTTGTTGCATAATCTTCTATCTTCTCTGCATGCAGGTATACTGGTACATACCTGGTCATTTTTGGGGCTACATTAGCTCAATATTTCTTTACATCCGGTTCTTCCCCAGGGTACTGACATATATGCCTACTATCTGTGTTCTTAATAACTGCATTCTATTTCCATGTAAAACAATATGAGTGGCACTTTTGCTTTTGTGGTTTTAGTTATGTGATTGATGCGATGAGAGCTGCAAATGGGATGAAGGCAATATTTATAGAATCACCAACGGTTCTGAAGTAAGCTTGTTGTATTCTTTGAAACATGTCAAAATAGGTTCTAAGGCTTATTTACATCATAAATATTTTCTTTGTCAATGATCCAATGTAGACAGTCTATTTCAAGAAATGGAAATATGATTCCTTCCATAAATCAGAGTCAAGTGGGCCACGATAATTCACAAATGAATTCATCTTCTTGGTTAAAGTTTGTGGCAGATCTTTATCCTCCAGGATTAACCAACAGGTATTCTCGTATGCACTTGCTTTGTGTAATCTCAGACATTATTACTCTATGCATCATGTATCACTTTTTAACCATGAAATCAAATAATTTATATTCCTTTAGTCAAAACAATTCATTGGCCAATAAAGAAAGTGGGAGAAGTAGGAGAGTCAATGCAAAAAAGGGAAGCTGCTTAGCCTGAATGCCCATATAGGTCAATTCTCGCTGGCTTTATAGGTTACACGGTGTGTGCATGTTGGGTTATTCAGGAAAATAATATCTACACCTAACTAAGGATTGCTTGAGATTTCTTGTTAAGTTTTAACAATGGGCTTGAGATTTCTTGTTACAAGGGAACATACTTGAAAAGGTGACTGATGACAAATTACTAGCAAAATGACGAGAGGAGTAGGGGCATATGCATGGTAGCAGAGTTGGTGAGGCAAGGAATGTGCACTCTGGTGTTAAAGATCATGAATCATTTCTGAAATACAATATAGGTTGTTGTGCATGCAAGTAGGCTCTATGTGGATGTATAATATAGATATGAGAAACCATAAAATCTAAAGAATTGAACAGGCATTGTCTTTTGGTTTCTCATGATTGCAATGATCTTGGTTTTCATTCTTTCATTTTTATCTCAGAGAATTGATAGATCCAAAATCAAAATGTTATGCTGCTTTTGAATATTTGAAAAGGTGCTCTTTACTATTTTTCTGCCTTTTCCTTTTTATATTGCTGTGGCACTAGGCTACACTTGGGATTCTGGCATGGCAGGACATGAATTGTCCCAGAAGCCAGTCAGTTAAACTTAATATTGTGGCTACAAGAGCTCTATTTAAGCTTTGGGATTGCATTGAGTTCCCTACTAGCATTTCATCAACAAGCAAATTTTTCGTTCACAGTGTGCACAATAGTTGATTAACAACTTATATGATTATGTTCCTTTTGTCTTGCAGGAACTGGACTTGCCCATACTGTAACGTTATACAGGTAAGCACATATTATAATTCTAAATATAGTAGAAGATAATATTTGTGGATAATATTTTTTATTAAAAGGTGGAAGCTTCTTACAAATTGTAGGGGTTGATAATCTGTAGTTTCTTATGGTATGGATCATGCCTAAGAACATTACATAATTCTGGCTAGAAATCATTGTATTCCCAGCTCAAATGTTCTGGCTTGCTGAAGCTTCAGAACTTCTGATTATGAGTGTGTCTACAAAAATTTCACTTGGCATAACTTATGATATCCATCCTGGTAGATTTGCCTTTGAAATGCATTTGGCTCTACAATAACACTTCATTTCTTAGTTATCATTTGCGTTTGTAACCTTTTCCATATCCAAAATATCTGGCTTTTGTTTAACATTATGGCAATCATTCCACAGCCTCCACGGTCAAAGCACTGCCATGATTGTGACAAATGTGTCCTGCAATTTGATCATCATTGCCTGTGGTTAGGAACTTGCATTGGTAAAAAAAACCATTGTCGATTTTGGTGAGCTTTATTCTTCAGTTAATTATAAATGTTCCAGAATGTTTAAACTTTAAACAACTCCTTTTACTTAGTATGCATGATGTTTTTTTTTATGCAGTAACCACGTTCTTAAAGAAGGATGAAGTTATGTGATTGTTTGTGGCCCATTAAATTGCATTTGCATATTTTTGTTTCCGCCCTCAATCTTTTTTTCATAAATACTGGCTGGCTGAATTCTGAACATATTTTGGGTTCAACACCCAACTGCTAGATCATGATGCTTTTTTTATGCAGTAACCATATTCTTAATGAAGGATGATGTTGTGTGATTGTTTGTGGCCCATTAAATTGCATTTGCATATTTTTGTTACTACCCTCAATCATATTTTTTTCATAAATACTGGCTGGCTGAATTAGAACATATTCTGGGTTCAACACCCAAGTGCTAGATCATGAAACTTGAATTATTTTTGTGTAGCATTGGACCATATTTGAGATAGCTTCTTCTTTTAACCTATTCTTTATAAGTTTTATGCCAAGTGAATAATTAGATTTATGTCAAACCTATATGACAATATGATCGAGCGTCAAAATATGAACAAATGATGTCATCTATACATAAACACATATCAGAATTTGGTTTAAACATTAGATGCTTAACAGTTCCATATCTAGTGTTGATTTCATTACAATAGTAGCTTTCCAGCTGGTATATATATATATATATATATATATATATATATATATATATATATATATATATATATATATATATATGTTGTCCAGGAAAATATTAGCTTTTTGGGTTTTTCCTATATGGTACCCTCTTTTCAAAATTCTCAAATCATCACCCCTATTTTTAATATTCCAAAAATGCTCCTTAAAAAGGCTAGCATTTTTTTCTGCCCAAATCCAAAATTTTTCCTGTCAACTGTTTACAGTGTTTTATATATTAGTTTTTATCTACAAAATACTGTATAATGTTTTGTTTTAAAAACACTATACAGTGTTTGTGGATAAAAAATAACCCATAAAACACTGTAAACAGTTGGCTGGAAAACTTTTTGGATTTAAGCGGCAAAACACTGTGGACAGCTTTTGAGGGTATTTTTGGGATTTTTTTAAATAGGAGGTGATGGTTTGGAAATTTTGAAGAGGGAAGATACTATCCAGTAAAAACCCAAAAAGAAGATATTTTCCCGAACGATCGCCCATATATATATATATATGCCTAATAACTGCCTAGAGCTTTCATAGCCCTGTCTAAAACATATTGGCTATGTCTGCACACTCTATCCGTTCTAATTCATGCCAGATGATTCTCATATACATACATCTGTTCTTGATTGTCATCTAATGGAACGGCCTAGTAAATGTGTTTCATGCTACCTTCTTTTAAAACTTTGCAACTTTGTTTAGCTCCATCAACTATTGGCTCTTTGTAATGATTGAATCAATTTTCTCCAATTTATGATCGCTTCAATATATGGTTGCTTCAATTGTATCTATGTTCACAATCCTTCTGATTGCTTTCATGTTTGTTCTTTTTTGTTGTTCATGTTCAAATAGCTAGATCTGATTTAGTGGTTACAGTGTTTCTTGATATTTCCATAAAGAGTTTTTTCATCTCTATGAGAAGTTTCTTCTGTTTGTTATTTGCTTCCTGTATAACCAATCGCTGCTCTTCCATAGTGGTGATTTGCCATCCAGCTACAGGTTGGGCTATCCATTTTTTCTTGACTCAGCAACTTCCAAAATTGTGGAGCATGTAGTTCAAACCTTGAAGTTGATAACTAAAGTGACAAAGCCCTGTTTGGTTCAAAAATAAGCCTCTGGATAGGCACTTACTCTGTGAACTTTCCAAACATGATTAGCTTTTAGGATTTAGACTAGGACTTGATTATACAATCAAGATCCTTTACCAAGTGTATAACAATTTCTGCCAAGCTCTTAGCGTAGCTTGTAAAAAAGAATGTTATCAAGTGCACGAGGCTCCCACCAATGCGGTTTGGAGAGGGCCAATGCGGGAGCCTAGAGTAACTAATTAATTATGTGAATTTGTGGTTATTTTTTAATTATACTTGTGTTGTGCCCCTGTTTGCTTGTTAAAATTAATTTTTAAACATTACTGTCAATCCAAATGTTCTTTTTTTGTATGCTCTTTATCCTATGGCTATTGGATTTGCTCTATAGAGCCCTACAAATTCATTTTTAACATGCTAATGTTATTTTTATTTTATTTTATACTGTCACAAGTTTTGTTTGGTTAATTATTGCTTCATCTCACGTTCTAGGAGCTTATGAAATAAGCACAAACAGAGCTAGCATATTAATGTGAAGGTTGTTATGCTTATGCATCCTGAGTCATGTCTTTTTTGAAGTAGTTATATTCTAGACATGATTGTTCATCCTGAGTACATGTTGCAGGTGGTACATCTTTGAAGAGACAATTCTCTGCATCTGGACTGTTATATTGTATATCACATTCTTGCACTCAAAAGACACAAAAGCTTGGTGTGTTACTCTCTTTCCAGCAGTCTATCTTCATCCTCTACTGACATTTTGTTGAAAAAGTAGTGGTTACCATATATGACAAGAACATGATATTTGTTTGAAATTGTGCAATCAGGTGGAAGGATTTTATTATGATAGTACTTTTGGTACCCTTAGCCTTTTGTGTCATCTTCTTGATTCTGCTGCTGCTTTTCCATAGGTATGATCGGTTCTTAATTTTGTGGTAAAACTATGGTATTTTTTACGTCTATTATCTTCTTTATGATGCCACAATTACGTGACTCGAGAACTAGTTTCCTGCACTTGATTATACTGTTATCACTGAACTTTATTTTTTTAAATTTTGTTACAGAATTTAGTTTTTCTTTGATGTTACTTCTTTTGATTATTATATTACTGGTTTTTATTGAATAAACGGCCAGACTGTATCTTCATTACAGTGTCAAAATGACTCAGGAAAATGGCCTGCAAAATATAAACAAACATTCTAGCACTCAGTAATAATCCTCTTTCTTAAAACTAAAGCATACATCTATTTGTTCACCTGTTCTCTGTCAAAAATTTGAAGGAAGCAATGGTAGGTGCAAAATAAGTTGTCAGGTTTAAGAATAACCCGATCATGATGACTGTATTCATACTGCTGATATTCTTGTGCTTGCATATTTCATGTGTTCTTATTGATGCTTATTCATGTGTTTCAGTTATCTGGCTTTAACAAATCAGACTACCTATGAGACAGTGAAAAGGCGGCGGATTTTGTACCTGAGGTAAAAATGAACGGTCTTCCATACCACTGAGACTTTGCTGTGCTCATCTCAGGGTGGTACTTATGAGCAAATCATGAATGATTTTGAGTTGCAGGGGAATTCCAGCAGGAGTTCATCCATTTAGTAATGGCATTTTCAGAAACCTGCGCGCCTTTTGCTGCTCCAGAGTTAGCATATATGACATGGAAGCAGTCCCACCAATGGAGGAGCTAGAAGACAGAGCAAGAGCATATACCTGTGTGGATGTTGTCTCTTGTAGGTGTTGTTGATTCCTGTGGTGCTTCTCTCCCACTGGGTGTTTCATATCCCTTTGTTCTTGTTCCTATTCCTGTTATCCTCTTAGATAGTCTGCTTGTTTGATACAGTTCTTGGGTTTTTCTTTTTCCCCTTTTTATGGCCAGACAAATGATGGTTTTCTGTCTCAATATAATCGCCATACCGGTCCGGCCATGAGCATTTTTTGTTAGGCCACGCAAATTGATGCCTTTCTTTATATCCTATATCGGTGGGGACATTTGTGTGTGATTGGTGTATGTATTTTGAATGTCAATCTTTTCGTATACTAACTAATATCTTGAACTTTTCATAAACAAAAGCTAATAATATCGATCACAATTCTCGTTCAGATGGTCGGATTCGATGCATATGATTTGTCATCCCTGTTTCTGGCCCACCTGGACAAATGTCATGTAGATGATACCCTGACTACGTCTCCGCATGCACGTCATGGCCGTCGGGCCTTGGCTTGGCTCCACGTTGCAATGGAACAGCACACGTGCCCCTGCGATTGGTGGCTGCATAATTGCAAGCAGATGGCCTTCTTCCTCTACCGGCACCGTCTCCGCCTCCGAACCAAATAGAGTGCAGTGCGATGGAGGAGTGCCTGCCCGACTCAACGGCAATGGAGGAGCCGACAGTGAGCGAGGCGGAGGCGGAGGCGGAGGCGGCGGCGGGGAAGGGAGGAGTGGCAGCCCGGCCGCCGCATATCTCCGACATGAAGCCGGTCACTCGCGAGGCCTACGGCGGAGGTTTGTACGGCACCGACGACGACGGTGGCACCGCGGCTGAGAAGCCGCCGGCCAGCGCCACCCAGAGCGCTGATGGTCCGCCGCAGCCGGTGTCGCCGCCGAAGCATAAACCGCCGCCATCGACGGGCGACCGCGATCGGGATATCACCGGCCAATCTTATATCCAGTAACTTAGATGGGTCTCCTGATCCGCAATTAAAAGAACCACTTGTGCTCGTATATGTATCAGCTTTCTTTCTTCTCTCTTCTTTCCTTTCACTTCGTTGCCTTGGCGTTCTGTCTTGGATGCCATAAATATGCTGTACTGCTTGCATTTGCTCGACGTTGACAGGTAGTTTTGTACAGAAAAAGAACAGTATATCACCGTAGACGACCAAGAAAAGCACAGCTATCAGCTTGATCAGCAGTATATATATATATATATATATATATACACGCAAAAGCTTGGGCCCTACGCAAAAGCACAGCTATCAATTGTACGCAAAATCATGGGCCTCTGGCCTTGCCGGCTAAGGCATGGGCCTTAGTGGGCCCTACCGTTTCGTTGGGACTGAGCTATAAACTACTGTCTGCCTTGTTAATCTGGGCTTTGCTACTGGCGATAATGGTGGGCCCTTGCTACGTTTCTCGGCCGCGTAAATCCTGTAGGTGCTCCGGCCAATGCGGTTCCCTCTCCGCATAAGATCCACGTGTCATGCAAGGGCACTCGACCCCACCACACTGCGACGGGTGCGAGCGATCGCATCTCTACCGCTCATCACGATCAGGAGATCTCCGGGGAGCAACGCAAAGGGCTGTTAACTTGGTCGCATATATCGCACCGTGTCACTGAGTCGTACGAAAGACCCACCGACTCGACTTCGCGGAGGACAGAAATAGGAGCCGAGAGCGATAAATATTCTTTGTTACGAGGGTGGGAAAATAAATATAGCAAACTAATATTTTGCCATACGTTTGGGGTTTCGACGAGCTGTTTCTCCCTTTCCACCTCGCCGCCCTGTTTCCGTTCCCATCCCCCATCACGGTAGGGTTAGGGAGTTCCCGATTCCCCCGGGTCGTCCCCGTCGTCCATGGCCGCAAACTGCGATTCCGCCGAGGCAGGCGGTGGGCCTCCCGCCGTCACCGTCCACGTACGGTGCACCGACGGCTCCAAGATCTCCGTCAGGACGGCTCTCGACTCGACGGTGGGTGCATTCAAGGCCGTCGTAGCCGGGAGCTCCGACGTGCCGGCGGAGCAGCAGCGGCTGATCTACAAGGGCCGGATTTTGAAGGACGATCAAACGCTCGTGAGTTACGGTGCGCGCCCCCTTTTACGGAGCTCCTGTCGCTTGTAAATGCAGGCGATTTGATGTTCTTTATTAGTATTTTTTTGCCCTGATTTCGCAGAGGTTAGAATTTCGGGCCTTGATCTTTTGCTTTCTGGCGCTTTTGCCTGCAGAATGGTTGACTAGGTTATGCACGTGTAGAACCTGTGCTTTTTCTTTGTCTTGTATTTCTTCTTAGTTTATGCTTATGGATACTTGTGGAAATTGTGGTAGAAATCAACGACTTATGCGCAAAGATGACATTGTTCATTTATGTGCTAGGGTTGTAGTTATCGAATTTGTTATCACCTGACCATGATTTTATTGAAACTTAAATCGGAGTGTGAAGATGACGAAATGTGTCTCTCGTATCTGACATATTGTTGAAGATGCTGTATTTGGTGTATTCGTATTTGGTGTATTCTTTAATTGCAACTGGCAATGATAACTGAACCAACTTAGGGCTGGAAACGGTTTAGATGATATCTATCCAAACCTGTTTCTTGTCCAGCAGAGCTGGACAGAGCTGGCAAATCCTTTTCTTTTCTTTCAAGTCCCTATAATCTACCAATGTTATTGATAGATATGAGTTGTTGCTTTGAATGATTTTCCTAATATATTTTTCATCAAATTTGTTGTCTCTTTAGGTATGTTTTGAAATGTGGTTATGAGCATACAAATGTTTGTTCACTTGTCTCCAATGTGACTGTGAATTTTAGCCTAATATTGTAACTGATCTTATTGCTCATTAATTTTCTCTGTTCATACTTGAATTAATATGCCATTATCGGATCATTGTCCGATCTATTTAACAATTGTTTTATTCATTTTGGTCATGTGTACTCTATCTCATTCTTTTAATATGGTAGTCAAACTTGATATTGTGTCTTTTAAGATGTCATATTGTTGCTGACCTGTGACAATATTGTAGAACCTAAGAGCAGTATTAACAGTGGAACTGAGATCTCGTGTAAGCTACAGAACTTTCTTGCTAATTTTCTTTTTTTTCCTCTTTTTGATGTATAAAAATGATTCAAGGTTTATGATTGTCAAATCATAGTCCTCTCAATGATGAGAAATAGGGAGGAGTGTCAGCAATATGGCTTTTGACAATAGGGACAAGGGTGAGTAGACCAGGTATATATGTATACTCGATGAGTGGACTAGGTCTATATGTATGCTCTATGTTTAGCCCTAGAAATGAACAAGCTCTCCTTTGTTTTTTTCTCTTTGCCATTTAATATACGTCCTATCAAATTTTGTGCTTTTGTTTCAATAATTTGTTCACATATTTTACTAGTCATGCATCTTGGCCGACATTAATTCAATCATGTGCATCATATACTTGTCTTTTCATCATATACTTGTCTTTTCATGTTATTGCACTATTTGGTTCCAAATTATCAAATCTGCAGTTAGATTATGTAGTTAAGTTTGAGAAATAGTAACTAAGTCATCATGAAGTTGTTCTCTCTTTACTATTTCTTGCTCTTAAACTTGAATTCAGTCCTCTAGCATTACAGTGCACTACAAAGTGCAGAGAGGCATGGTTGTACGCCTTGATGGATGCTTCTTAACAAAGCAAGGCATGTGCCAAGTACAAGCATAGCCTGCCTCGGCATATATGGACTGTACAATGTCACTCACCACGATGTAGCTTGGCCACATAGAAAACTAAGACCCTTGTTTGTGCATGAACACGTGTGCATGCTTGAATGCTTATACTCATGATCATTCATGTGTTATCTTTCCCATTCAATACTAACCTTCTTTTGTGTTTATGATATTTATGATTATATATTTTTCCTAAGTAATAAATTCACACTAGCCACCACTGCTGTGAACTCTCTGACCTATGACAAATTATCCACTTTGGGATGGCCCTTAGCATGGTTTTGTCTTTTTGGGGTGACACTGAAAAGGCACCTTGAGGAGAGGAGTCACTTTTAGCCTGTTATTAGATTTTGTTTTTTCAACTCTCCAATCAATGTAGAACTAAATGTGAGCGTATCAGATATCCCTAGTTGGGAAGCTAAAGTTTCTTTGGTCTACAGTGGGCGTCATCTGATAAGGTCCACACTAGACATCACTGGTGCAATCTCTTTTGAGTCATGAGAAGTTGTCTGCTCTAGGGTTGGACTGGTACGGTTTTGTCCTTTCGGGTAGACCCAAAAGGTGCCTTAACAAATGTGGTACTAATGTGGTCTTACCACTGAGCACACTTATATTTCTGCTTAGATTCAAAAGAATAAGCTTATTATGCCAATATTTAGTAGCTCAGAAGAAATGGATTACTCTATATTCTCAGTCAAGTCTTCTCCTATCAGGAACTTCAAATTTGACATGAAAATCCTGTCTCGCTTTTTCTGGAATTTCACATGGATTTTTTTGAGTTGCTGTTGACCTTCCTGGATCTTCTTTCTACAGAAAACTTTTTGAGTTCTTGTTTTGTTCTGTGTGGTCGACAGTGTTTGTTAACTATACTAGGAAGCACATCAGGCATGTACTCATTGGAAAAGTTATCTTGTAGCCTATGTAGGAGTTTCCTAGAAGAAACTTATGGCTTTTCTATATCTTGCATTTCCATAACCATGAAATTATAGCTTGATGCTTGTTGTTGATGTTACCTGGTCAATATTTGGCAGTTGCTCATATTACTAGAGATAACTGATCCTCATTGAAACTTTAAAAGAAAATTTCTTACTAGAGTTTATTGAAGCCTATTTTCCCCATATATTAGTAGGAAGTAGAAACAACTGATTTTTATCAAAACTGAAGTAAAAAAAATCCTACTAGGGTAGCCTAGTCTTTCCATTCTCATTTAGTCCTTTTGCTTTTCTCCCACTAACTGCTGCTTTTTTGGATTTTCTTTAGATGTTCATGCCATCAACCATGGTTCTTTATCACTTGGTTCAGATTAATGCTCTTCACTCCTTCTCTAGCTAGACACTGGTATCTTTAATAATCCACATTATATTAGGGTACCTACCGTCATATTTCATCATTATTTATGGTACCATGTATTATAATTAGGCGACAATCATGTGGTTTAATTTTTTATATTTAATTTTGTTTGAGAGGTAGAAAATTTTGGTTAGGATGTTGGAAAGAAACTCAAGTTTTAGCTATTGATTTGATTTGTTAGTATTTGGGATCAATGAAGTGCAAAGTACAAGTAGTTGTAGTTGTCGGATGAAGTTAGATATGATAATCAATGTTTATATTGACATGATGTACATAATAACCTTTTCATAGTTCTTTAAATGCGTGTTTCTTTTTCACTTTTTATTGCCCTAAACTGAACAAAAAATAGGAAAAATATAATAGCAAGTTCAAAAATAAGGCAGAAACTTTTATGGTGAACAGAAGTGTATGTAAATTATAGTATGTAATGTTCATTGGCTTGAGAGAACTTTATATTTACTTTTGAACAAGAATAATAAGTACGAGAAAAATCATTAAGTGCAATGATGCATTGCAATGGCAATGACTGTTTGTTTTTAATGTTAGTTTATATGACACTTTGTTATTCCTATTATTTGATAGTAATTTTGTCTTTTCATCTTAAAGGTCTAAGAATTCTCACCTAAAATTTTGAGTCATTAAATAACTTCTATTATATTTCTTCTTCTCTTCATGAATAGGTGTGGAATCTGACCATACCATTCACTTGGTTCGTGCTGCTGCTCCATCAGCCACATCAGCTAACACAGCTGTGGGTAATCAAGGAGCTTCAGTAACCTCAAATAGCAACTCAGCATCTGGTTTTGGAGGCTCACTTTTTCCAGGTATGAGTGTTAACGGTGACGCAGGTAGTGAGACAGCTAGCCTGTTTGGGACTGGAATTCCAGAACTGGATCAGATGCAGCAGCAGCTAGCTCAGAACCCAAACATAATGACGGAAATTATGAACATGCCTGCCATTCAGAACATTATTAACAACCCAGATATAATCCAGAATCTTTTTATGAACAATCCCCAATTGCGTGAGATCATTGATCGCAATCCTGATCTTGCGCATGTCCTCAATGATCCGAGCACTCTGCGACAGACAATGGAGGCAGCAAGAAATCCTGAACTCATGAGAGAGATGATGCGTAATACAGACAGGGCTATGAGCAACATTGAATCTTCTCCAGAAGGATTCAACATGCTCCGGCGTATGTATGAAACTGTTCAGGAGCCGTTCCTTAATGCGACAACCATGGGAGGAGACTTAGGGGGTGATGCGGGATCAAACCCTTTTGCTGCTCTTTTGGGAAGTCAGGCTGCTGCACAAGGCAGAGAGAGATCGATAAACTCAACCACTGGTTCAGAACCAACAACTGGTTCTGCTCCAAATACTGATCCACTCCCCAACCCTTGGGGGACCAATAGTGAGTTCATAATCTCATTTGCTTTATCTTCTTGTTTATTTGTGAATCCTTTTGCTGTGGGCTATTTTACCAGTTTATTTGACAGCTGGAGGGCCTCAGCCAGTAAATACAAGTTCTAATCCTGCCAGCACACCTGGCGCTCCGGTATTAAATGGGCTTGGTTCACTGGATTTGGAAAACATGGTTGGGAGGATGCAGGATTCGTCCGTATTAAGTCAGGTTTTGCAAAATCCTGCTATGATGCAGATGATGCAAAATCTCCTTTCTGACCCACAGTATGTGAACCAGGTAGGATTTAGCTACTGGTGGGTGATTTGATTAGCATGTGGATTCTTACTATTGTTTGTTAACTGTTATAGGTGCTTAATTTCAACCCCAATATGCGTAGTCTGTTGGAATCCAATGGTCAGTTAAGAGAGATGCTGCAAAATCCAGATTTTCTTCGTCAGCTTATGTCTCCTGAAACTATGCAGGTGATCTGTGATTGGAGTGCTATTAAATCTTCTTATAGTGTTCTTTTTTGTGAACTAAATAAGTCTTTCCTGCAGCAACTTCTATCTATTCAACAATCATTGTTCTCCCACAATGGTCAGCAGCAGTCAAGACTGTGAGTTATTCTCTTTGCTTGAAATATAAAGCATACTATTTTTTCATGAACATTCTACTCATTGCAAATGCCACTAAATCTGTAAACTCGCATAAATTCTTTGTGGTCTTTCTTGTTTCTTGCCATCGAAATGTGTAAATAGGTAAACTTAACTAATTAACTAAATAAATAAACCCTGCATATGGCATTTTGAAGATTTTCTCATGCAATTAAGTTCTAACTTGGATTAACTATTTTAATAGTTCTGTTTTGATTTTTAATTTTGAGTGCACTTTTCCTTGTGGTAAATTTTGGTTCATTTCAGTAATGATCTCTCATGTTTGTCTCTTGCAGAGAACAAGAGCAGACAGCTGGCGGCACTGGTAAGAACAAATTACAGTTTTAGATCATCTTTTTCTTACATTTTGATGATTTTTCTCTTGTTCATGAGAACTTCCAACATATCTTCAGCCAAATTGTCTTGTGATCCATGACTGTTGGTCGTTTGATTCATGGGTTGTAAAATTTAGCAGCCTTTGACTCGTTTTTATTATATATTTATATATGGCTAATTGTCAGAAATGGTGACAATGACTAGATAAGTAAAAGCATAGCTCCTTGTTTCTTTGTGAGTCTTTATGGATAGATGAGGGCCTAACGTTGTAGCTATGTGAGTCTATAACGGATTTGACTGGAATTTTGTTAGCAGCTGTTTCAATGTCACAATGGCTATTATTTAAAAATATGAATTAACATGGGTTTCTTACATCATTATGTCATTAGTTTTTCCTACCATTTTCTGATGCCCACTGATTGACACTTGATAGGCACGCTGAACAACACCGGGCTTGAATTCTTGATGAACATGTTTGGTGGACTTGGGACAGGAGGTCTTGGTGTTCCCCCAACTTCAAATGGTTGAATTTTGTTATTTCCATTGATGCTTCTTTTTGTGTTTACTTGATCAAATTACTGTCCTAATTAAACTGTGAATTTGAATTTTATTTTCATCTTGGTAGTGCCAGCGGAAGAGCTTTATGCAACTCAGTTGTCTCAGCTCCAGGAAATGGGTTTCTTTGATACCCAGGAGAACATCCGAGCTCTGACTGCTACTGCAGGGAATGTCCATGCTGCCGTCGAGCGACTCCTGGGGAATCCTGGCCAATAATTTTCTCGTAAACTCGCTTTTCTATTGTACCCTTCATTGTATCTTTAAGATTAACTGATTTCAGATGTCCGATCACGTGCTTGGCAGCCAATCACATAGTCGGAATAAGTTAAGAGATATTGGTCAAGGGGGATGTTAAACACTAGCCTTGTGTTGTCTTTCGATTAGATATTGTATCAAGTGAATGCTCAGCGTGCATACACAGAAAGTTGTATTTTGATCACATGAACTGTGAATATTCATAATAATTGGTTCGAGTGTGATTATTTTATCTTGTCTTTCAATTCTTCTTGCTGCTATTTAGGGAAAGGTTTCATTGCAGTTTTCTCTATCATGCAGCCTCTTTCATACCGCACTGTGAACCCACACGATAAGTCCGAATTCCCCTCCGACACTGCCGCTGCCTTTACCAGGTTCCCGCATACGAGCATATGCTGAGAGGTAAATATCCTGTCCACCTGTTAAGAAATGGGTGTGTATAAAGTATGGAATATTTTCTGTCACCGAACTCTCTTCTTTCATTACGTCTATTAAATTAGTTAAGTCGCTGTTCATCTGTTTTGTATTTTGGACGAGGGTCCAGCTACGTCCACAGGTTTAGCATTATATATGTTTTTGATTCTTCGAGTATTGAGTTCGATCGTGTTTACCAGAAGTATCAATGCTTAATCCTTAAAATGCTCTGCGAGAATTCACATTGATGGAACAATAAGTCAAGTTCTTCAGCCGACACAGTTTGCAGCTGCTCATGAATGCTCGCTCATTGTTCCTCCTGCAATTGTCCTCCAAAACATAGCCAGGTTGCGGTTGTAATCTAGTCGTCGTGGATAAATCAATGTGCAAATGGAAGTATGTATCGACCAAGGAAACCGGAAATGGAAGGTAGCCGAAGTAGATAGAATTGTTAGAGAAGCATTTCTGGAGGAGGCCGACGGCTCGAGTCAACTAATTGCCAATTCGTACCCGACCATCCTTATATTCTAATTTTCCCAGCTAAAGCGGAAGAGTGACGTGTAAAATTGAAATGCATAAACATTAAAAATATAATCAAATATATTTGAAAGAACGTTCCCTACCGACTCCGCTTCCGTAGCATAGTGGTAGTGCGTTCGCTTCGTAAGCGAAAGGTCGCGAGTTCGATCCTCGCCGGGAGCTTTTCTTCTTCCGTTTTACTTTTTGTTTCACTGTCCATCTTTTGTTCTTGGCCTGGCTACTGTGATCTGCAAACTGCGCTCGTGATACTCGAAGATAGTCTGATCTCATTATTGTGCTTCATATCTATTTTAAACAATACTGAGGTTGGAGGAAGGAGAAAACAGAAACACGGGCATTAGCATCTCCAATTAGAGGTCCGCGATGGCAGTTTGAATCTGAGCTCGAAGCATTTCTCCGGCAAGTCCCAAGAACAGAAAACTAAATCGCTGGTCCAGGTTGGTTCGTCATTAAAGGGTGGCATCGTCGGTGTCGCCATTGCTGCAAACTCGAGTTTATTCGTAGGGGCTGTGTTTTGAGCATCTAATCTGACTCATGCTTGTCATCATGGATGGCATCAGGAGATCAAAAACAAAAAGGAGGAGTTGCCCATTCCGGCCACACAAAGAAGTGTTTGCAGCCCTCACAATTACTTGTTCGAGGTGGAGACATCGAGCCGCATAGACCTGCAAAAAGAAAGGGTTCCCCTTTGCCAAGTGCTTGACGCCGAAAGCCTGTACCGTTCTTCACCACCCTTTACAACTCCTCTGAAACTTTCTTCAGCAGGTCATCATGCGTGCAGAGATGAGGGCTTCGGTCAAAGACACCATGATCTGTCTCTCCTTCGTAGCTTAGCAGAGTCCCCACCATGTGAGCTGTAGCATACCATCTCTTCCTTTTCTCAACTTTCAAGCTTACCTGCATGAGATGCAATCTGGCTGAGAGAGTTCCTCGGATTAATAGTCATGGGTTTCTCTTTGGAAGCTTTTTATGAACTGAATCATTCTTGAATATATAAATCCTATGGACTTTTAGGTCACAGACACTTCGGATCAGAAATGCAATCTTACTCTTTCCTGATTTCAATGTAATATTAAGCCTCATTCTCTTTTGATCAAACTACTCGTGATCTACACTCCATTCTTTAAACTCGTGTTCAGGCACCATGTCCTGATTACAAAAGTATTACATGAATTGGCCTTTACCCTTTCCACAGTACATTGCACACAGAAGTCAGTGGTGTTTCGTGGAGAATTACCCCACAACATTAGAAGCTCAAGCTCAGGAAGATGCTTCAATTCAGAGACCAAAGCAGGTGATCAATCACTGCTGGCGGTCAAGGCTGCAGTGATAAGGAACAGACGCAGACCAACTGAACTTTGGAGAACGGCAGCATCTCCCTCGTGCCCAAAAGCTTCACAGACCGACGACCCTCCTCACACTCGTGAGCTGTATTCAAGAAAAATAGAAGATCAAAAGAGAGTCACGGGAGCAAAAAAGAATCATTTTTCAGTTCATTAGAGTTAGTAATGACCTTTTGGACAGAGCTTAAAAGAAACGAGAAGGCTTTGCACCCCGGAGGGTCTTCTACTAAAAGCTGACGAGCTGCACCATTCCTAGGGTTCCACAATGGGAGTCCCAGCCCTAGGATCTTCCCCTCTTCTCAGATTCCTCTCGATTGAGGCGTGGAGGTGTGATTCTTCGGCAGCTTAGCAGCGTCGAGGCTTCTGCTTCTGATTTTGGTAGACGGATTCGGAAAAAAGTAGGTATGTAAATGCTGCTGCGCTGGAGATTTTTCTGCCATTTAATGTTCTTAATACTAGATACTGCGACACTATTCGATCTTTTCGAATAGTGTAAATGCTGCTGCTTTGTAGATTTTTCTGTCATCCAATGTTCTGCATACTAGATATTGCTACACTATTCAATCTTTTTGAACACCATGTCCCGATGTCAATGCCGCGAATCGGTGTAGTTCACGATTGGCTAAATTAGAAATTATCCACATCGAAAACAATTGCAAAACCTAATCTTTGTTCTGCGGCGTCGTCAGATTCCTTTGCTGCTGCTTCTGTGATCTTTGACTGTCCACAGGTGTTCTTCTTTTCTGCATCTTCCTTCGAACATAAATACTTGCTTTCAATAGTGATTACTGAGTTTATTTGCTGCAATGCAGCACTTCTACATAATTATTTTGATGGTGGTGGCTTATGATTTCTGACAATTTTATGGATGGCATTTGCATATTCTTTTTCTTTTTCGTGTTATTTTCCTCTCCGAGAATTGCCTAAAGTTCAAATCTCCATCAAAATGTCACACTCCTTTTCACTTGACCTTGGATCATAAATGTTGATTGTTTCGTGGATAGTGCTAGAAGTACAATACAGTAGCATTTTTGCCATATAGTTGAATGTTTCTTAGTCCTGATTACCCATGTATAATTGCCTCATCCTTTTGACAGCTTCCCACTTTTGAATTGATATATATGTTGCTTCGTGACGGAGAAAAGCAGGAATTTTGTTCTAAATAAAAGAACAAACATGATTTGGAGAAAAAATTAGTTTTTCATTTCCCTTGACCTTCTGAAACTTTTTTCTATAATTTTGTTTCTGTGTTCCTTTTCCCCTTCCATTATTTGCTGGCAGAGTGCTTCTGAGATCTGAATTAAATTAATATGTACGCTTAATTTGATTACATTGCAGGTTAAGATATGCTCATGGCTTGTTTCTGTTGATTATGAAAAAATTTGAACAATCTACTGAAGATAGTAATCAGGAGAAGATGGTGGGCATACTGCAATTCTTTGATATCGGACAAGCTTGCTCATCCTGCAAGTCTTTGATGCTTAGTAGCAGACGCAATAATGGTGAGACTTACGCCTCTTAAATCTATTATCACTACTAAACCATCATTAGAATGCAACATGTTAGTTAGTGCTAATGCTGCTGTCATCAGTTCCAGCTATACTTGTAAAAAATTATAACGTCGACTGGAACTAATATCAAGAAAAAAGGCTATTGCTTTCTGTTAACTGTGCCTTCCTGAACTTATTTTACCTTTTAAATTAGTTTCTGTGTTTCTGTTCCTCTGCAGGTCTTGAAGCTCCTAGAAATACCTTGGAGTTTCCCATGAAAATGTATCAGAGTTTTCAAGTCGTTCATGAGGAGATTCTAGTGAGTCGTTTGATTGCATATTATGTCATTTCTCCTGAATAGAGATATGGTTTCTCATTGTTTACATTTGAGCACCATTTTACCTTAACATAGTTTTACGAGAAGTACAAGTACTAGAACATAAATTACTTGCTCTTCTGTAACATTTATCTGCATCAAAGATCCTTTACATGCTGGATAATTTTGTGAACTTGATATGGTTATGTTTCTAATTCTGTATCTGAGATATTGTTTCTACTCGGTTAACTCCCAAAATCTCAGGATGACATATTGTTTCCTGATGCAGTAAGCCAACTTCCTCTTCTTAGATCTATTTGCTATTGGGCTGTGAATTATATACACATATCTGATACACATTGGAACCATGATTATATGGTTTTGTTTTCTCCCAATTTTGAAATACTAATGAGCAGATCTAATTGCATTGAGATTAAAATTGACTTTGCTGTTCAATGTGTGTGATTTTAGTTCTTCCCTCATGAATGTGACAAAGATGGTGTTTGCAGCATGGAACTGATACCGAAAGGTTGATTGCTGAGGAGATTCCACAGATAACAAAGGATCAATGTAACAGACCAAGTGTTGTAGCCCGACTAATGGGAATGGATGCGCTACCTTCAGACATCAAGCCATTGCTTTGTGCTGAGCAGTTGAATGATGAGAAGGGACCAAGAAAGGAGCCCAGCACTACCTCTAATCAACAGGCCTCACTTGCCTTGAAATCCATGAGATATTCAAATACGGAGTTATTTCCTTGCAATATCAAACAAGATTTTGATCAGCACACCAGGAAGCTTGAGATGAACAAACCACAGACATGCGAACATCCGCAAGAAGAATTGCTGCAGAAGTTCAAAAGAGAATTTGAGGCATGGCAAGCATCCAAGGTATGGGAGAAGTCAGTGACCCTTGAACTGGGTAATGATCGTGAAAAGAAAAAATATACAAGCACACTTCCACAAGAAGGTGTCGAGAAAGAGAAAGTGTCCAGGCATGTGGATCACAAGAGAAGTTCATTTGTAACGAAAACCACAGAGACCAGATGGCATGTTCCAACAGCTAGACCAAACATGAATCAGGAACAAGATGATCTTCTGAAATATGAGGCTTTTGCAAGTGAACATAATGAAAATGCCCTAACAGAGGAGAATTCTCCCAGGGACAACAGAAGAAGTAGTTTCTTCGCTCCCCAATATGATCATAGGATGAATATGTCTGCTTCACCTCGAAGGATAGTAATTCTTAAACCTTGTTATGAGATGTACCATAAAACTGAAGAGTCCTTAGGCTCACGAGTGATGGTAGATAAAGAAAAGAACATGCATGATTTTCTTGAACAGGTAAAGGAAAGATTGATTGTTGAACTACAATGGAAGCCTAGATTTGAGACTGCAACTGATTGGACTAGGCCTGAGGCTTTTGTCACTAAAGGATTCGCTGATTCTAAATATTTGGTACCAAAATGTCTTAAGCAAAATAGAGGCGATTCTGAGGATAACAAGGCTACCCTAATGCGACCAAAATCAACAAGGACATATAGAAATGAAATCCAACCTAGTGAAAAAGCTTACCCGGAGATTATCGACCAAGAAATGATAACACCATTGTCAGAGAGGGTGAAGAATGTCCTGAAGGATGAAACAGATATAAGGTGTCCTTTTAATTCCAGTAGTACGCTGACTATGTCACTCTCAAGCAAAGAAGCAGAGAAATTCAATTTAATTCAGCAATTTGGCAAGAAGGTAACCTCCTGGGATGATACGAAAGCCCTAATTGGATCCAAATCTTTTAAACAAGACCAGGGGCATGCATTTGATGATGGGGAGGAGTCTTCAAGAAATCTTGTCAGATCATTTTCTGCTCCTGTTTCTGGAATTGCTTTTGGGAAACTACTTTTAGAAGACAAGCATTCAATGACATCAGTACTCACTTGTAGGAAACATGAAGTATCTCAAAATGACTTAATGGAAGCCAGGAAAAACAAGAATGGTGCTTTTGACATGAAAAGCAGAGTTACATGTTTGAGACAGAATTTCACATTAAAGGAAAAGCTTTTCAGGAAGAGGATCCAATTGATGGATGAATTAGCTGAAGATGAATTTCCATCCATGAAGACGACTGAAAACACACCATCTGTTTTGATGAACTTAGGGTTTGCACAGGCAAGTTATATGCTAAAAATTTGTAGTTCCTTCCATAAGCTAATAGATAAAAATTATATGGATTTGATGCTCCTAGGATAACTCAACTGAGGTGCCACCAAGCCCAGCATCGGTGTGCTGCAGTTCACATGATGACAATTGCAGGCCCTACTATCCAAGTCCAGTATCTCCACTGGAGGCACTTCTCCATGAAGATTATCCTTCCTTGACAGCTTCTGGAGAACCAAATCTTCCAGGTAGGAATTTTCCTCTAATACAGTAAATGCATTTGCAGAAATATTCATGCATAGAGAAACCGTTTAAATCTATAAATTAGAAAATCATGTTCATCTAATGGCTTAAACTTTTGGATGAAATTGAAGTGATGATAATTAAGATCATATATTATCTATAGGTCCATGGATCAGGTCTCATCTAATGGCTTAGGTTTCTAGATTAAATGACAGTGATAAATTTAGGAGAAACAAACTTAAGAATTCCATAGGTTAGTATCATAAAGAAACAAATCTCTCTCTAGTACGATCTACATAGGTTAGTTTTATCTAAGTTTTCGATTGTCCTTTTAGATGCATTCAAACTTGCATATCAAGTTCACTGTAGCAAATGGAAAAACTTATCTTTGTCTGGCATTTAACTGCAAGGAAAAGCTGCAGATCAAAAGATTATGTTTGGAGTAGCATTTATTTTTATATAGCGGTCATATAGCACATGGCTGCTTTGAAAATAGCTACTCATTCATATGTTGGTTTATTCTCTTGTGATATTTCTACCATTAATTTCTAATGCAACTACTCTTGCATGATATGTTTGGCTTCTCTTTCTTTCAGAATCAAGTTTGTCAGAAGAATTCGAGAATGATAGATCTGGAGACGTAACAGATGAAATAAAACCAACCAAAGATGAACTTCTCGAGTTGGAAAGCAATGCAAAAGCTTATGTAAGAGAGATCCTCTTTAGGTCTGGCCTGTTCAACAGAAACCACTTTGATCAGGTCCTTTGGGAGTCTGACACTCTAATGAAACCAATATCTATGTCGGTCTTTCGTGAAGTCAGAGGAAACATATCGAAGAAATAGCAAGCTGGAATGTATGGCATTCCTCGTACATAATGGCCAAACTGATTTAGGTCATAGAATTCTATTTGATCTACTGAATGAAGCATTGCTGAGGGTTGTGCAGAATTCAAAGCCTCACTCTACAGTCAAGAAATGGTTTCCAGGCTGCAGAAGATTACCGCATGGAAACCAAATCTTAGACAGTCTCTGGCATCAGATTCAACTCTACATCAATCCACATGTGGATGAATCATATCCTACAAAAAGCATCGTCGCCCAAGCTCTGAATCGGACTCCCTGGTCTGGTATGTTGCAAGACAACATCGACGTGATCTGTGTAGAGATGGAGTTTTCGGTTGCGGAAATTTTGATCGATGAGTTCGTGTGCGATTTGTCATATTAATTTAATGTTTGGTGAACAAAATCTTTTATAGAGTGAAATCTTGTTCTACACTGCTTGTCGGAAAGCTTAAGCTTTTAGGTGCAATACCATTGATCGAAATCTTGTTCTACACTGCTTGTCGCCGCCCCCGCATGCTCAAGGATTGCAGCAGCACACCGTGTGCCGCAGTTCCCCTCCGCCGGCCGAGCACCCGCAGGAAACAAGACGACGGAATTAGGATTGCCGTAACCAGCAAGGAGGAAGGACAAGAGAAGGAACGGCTGGGATCACCTGCAGGCGTCGCCGCCGGGGCACGGGACGGCGCAGCCGCACCCGTTGTTGCAGCCCCTATCCGCCATCGATCAAAGTCCACCGCGGCCGGGCTCTCTCTACTGGTCGAACACCCCACCTTCACGAAGGACACGGTCCCGAGTTACTATAACAAAAATAAAAATAAATTAATATTATTTTTATTACGACAACATAATATAAATATATGATAGATAACATAAAATAGAAGAAAATAAAATTAAAAACATAAAGATTAGTGTAATGATTTGTGAGAACAATTCAAAAGTACAAAAGAATTCGGAGTTCTAATTCGTTCCAAAGTCATTCTCCGAATCCGTTTCCAACTATCCTTCTCTTGTTTCTACGCCTACCATAAGAAGCCTTGTGATTTCGATGGAAGGGTCGATCTCGACGCCACGTGGCGCGCACACCCTTCGATACCGAATCAAATCCCATTATACCATCTCCGACCCGCCATCATTAGATTCCCCAGGATCCGTAACACCACCGGACGCCGTCTCCGACTCCGACTCGTCTCATCTCAGCCGTCCTTTGTTCGACCTCCCACCGCCAATCGCAGCATAATCTCCCAACCCCGACATTATGGAAGTGAATAAGAAGGAAGAGAACAGTAGCCAACCGCAGAGCTCACTTCCTTCTATTCTTCTCGCACTTCTTGTTGCGCACGCAGCACGTTACTGTTTGCCTCCTTCGATCCTTGCAAGAGAGTTTGTTTGCCTCCTTCGATCCTTGTAAGAGAGTTGGGAGGAGGAGCGAGGATGGACTGGATGTTCGCTGCTTGTCCTGCTGCTGCTACCGGTGGATTTGCCGAGATCAATAACCGAAACATGGAGGAAGGGATGGCGGCGCAGGGAGCGTCGTGCGTGCAGGTGATGACCGACGAGCAGATGGAGCTCCTGAGGAGACAAATCTCGGCCTATGCTGTCATCTGCGAGCGGCTTGTGGAGATGCACCGGGCCGTCTCGGCACAGCAGGATGCTTTCTCAGGTTCTCTCTCTCTCTCTCTCTCTCTCTCTCTCGCTCTCTCTCGCTCTCTCTCTCTCTCTCTTCGTTCTTTCTGCTCATCAACATGGCCGATTCTAGAAATTTGATTTTTAGCGTAGTATTGAGTTAGTCACTTTGTTTGCTTGGCTTTTCTTGTGATTACTCCCTTCTTTTGGCGTATCGAAGTCAACTTGTGCACCGGACCACCTTTTTCTCAATGTTCTAGTTGTAAAACAGGATTTCTTGGAGATAGTTCTACTGTTATATATCGATCTAACACTGGTTGTCTTGTTCTTGTTCTTGGTTCTTTTTCTCTAGAGTTAACCCACATACTTCCGGACTCCATGTGGTTCATGCCATTGCTAGAGTTCTAGTCAGAGGATGTAATTCAAGAAATCACTTACATGTCAATCTATTAAGTCAAAGCATGATAGATCTTGTTTCCTAGTTTTCAAGTGGGATGATCCAGAGTCAACTAAGGTGAATTTGGAAGAAGAACCCATTTATAGTTGTCATCAATCAATCTGGTCTCTGGTTGCTCCCCCCTTTCTAGTTTGCATTGTCCTCCATCAATATCGATGGTAACTTCGTTTGTTCTTTTAGGTTCTACACGTAGAGGACTAATCTGGTATGTTTCTTGTCTTGTCCAAGAAATTGCCAATGCAAATGAAAGATACGATAACGGGATTTCAGCACAAAAGAATTGGATTGATCCATTTGCTCTTTTCAGGGATGAAGCTGAGTGGTCTGTATAATGACCCTCTAGTGACGTACGGAGGTCCCAAGATTTCTGCAAGGCAACGCTGGACGCCAACCCATATGCAGCTACAGACTCTTGAGAGCCTATTCTACCAAGGCATTGGAACTCCAAGCAAGCAAAGGATCAAAGAGATTGTTGCTGAGCTCTCACAGCATGGACAAATTTCCGAGGCGAATGTCTACAATTGGTTCCAGAATCGAAGGGCTCGTTCGAAAAGGAAGAAGACGGCTGCTGCGCCGAGCAACACAGAGTCCGAATCTGAGGCTAAATCCCTGGTTGAGAAGAAGGCCAAGACAGCGATGGCAGCTGCATACAGCAACTTGTCCCCTTCAGTTTACGATCATAGCCCAGCTTCTAATGGAAGCCAAGGGATGTATGACTATGAAGCACCAGAGAGTTCAAAGCTTTCAGGTGGTTCTGATGGAATGCCAGTTTATGGAATATCTATATCAACCCCAAGGAAGCAGCCATAGTTTCTAGGTTAGGTGTTTGTCAGAATACACTTGTGTGCATTGCTTAGATTTCAGATCATCAATGCAGCATTGAACTGCTTGATGGTGAAGCATATGATGCCACTGCTTGATGTTTTTGCATGAATTAAGCTTATCGTGACATCATGCTCTGATCCAGAGATTTATACGTAAAGGACTTTGCTGGGTTGCTATATAATGTGCTAATCATCAGGTTGTCTCAGTGAATTAAGATGAGGATATTGGGGTTTCTCTCTCTAGTTTTCTTTCTTGATGTAAATGTTATGCTGATAGATAGGACATGTATTTATTTAGAGAGTTAGTAGAAGTAGATTACTACAAGCACCAAGAAGGGAGCTCCTGGTTTCATAGTCGGAGAACATCCTTTTCTCTCTTCCATAATTACAAGAACATGAAGATATAGATTTGATACAAGTGCTTTGATCAATCATGACAAATGGGTAGTAGTAAGCATACTAAAGATGGATAGAATCCCAATAGATGATGTAAAGAGGAATCAAGAGAAAAATAAAAACTTGATATACAAACATTTAAAAGTCAACTTAGTTACACAAAGTCATGATACACCTCCATCTACTGAAAAAGGAAAACCCTTCACCCTTGTGACAGATGCTCATTATAACTTCAAATGGAAAGCATTAAGTGCCCATGAACCCTGTGCATGTTCCAAAGTAATGTGAATCTCCTTAATGAGAATATGTTGTCAACAACTTGTAAACAAATAATTAAATGTAACACCAAAAAAAATACACCACACCACACAGTTCCTCAAAACCTAAAGGTCATCAAGTCTCAAGCAATGTCGACAACTATAGGGTTGAGGTTCTCCACTATCCCAACACAAGTAGGTGATATCCTCTAAAGGTTAGCCTGTAAAGCATGAAACAATGTGAGGCACCTTCCTTATTCCCACCTAGTCATCACCCAATTTTAATAACCACTTACAGAAATAAGAAAATATATATATTTTGTAAAATACACATCATAGTCTGATGGTGTTATTGCTTGTTAGCCCCATGTTACTGTGTTGAAGCTGCTTTCTCCAAATATGTCGAAATCGATCCAATTTCGAGCAATCAAATTGAACGTGTAGAAAGGATTAGACATGACCGTTACTGGATCATGCTTGGGAGCACTATGTAGCAGCAGCTACTCACCTGCTCATCTGAACCTTAAGCTTACTCATGCCAGTCTCCAGCTTTCCCATGCCTGCTTCAGTATTTTCACTATCAGGTTTTACTTCTTTCATTGTAAGCCATGGATGTTGCAGACACTGTTCCGCTGTTGGTCGCTTCTCTGGGGCAAAATCAAGTAGAGGGCAAAGAAACTCCGCAAATTCACGAGCATCAACCTCAGGAAATTTATATTTCTCAACAAGTAGCCGATCTAGTGGCCAAAATTTCAGTCTACGGATCCTCTTCAGGTCTCCATGCCTGTCAAAGTAATCCTTCGATCGGGATCCCATCGTAGCAACCTGAATAACAGGAAGAAAGCTAGTTAACAGCATGTATCAAGAAAGTTAACAAGAAAAAAAATTGCAGTTCTCACCTTTTTGGGCATCTTCCCAAGGAGCTCCATCATTAAAGCCAAGTGATCCTGCCAGTGGGCCAAAGTGATTCACTGGAAATTAAATACATGATAGAACAGGAATATACTTTTCAAAGGAAATAATGCAGTTGCAGAGTTGAGCTTGCAAACACTTGTTTTAAAAGTTTTAAGAAAATTTTGAAGCCTGATTAATCAGTTCTAGCTGTTTCACACATTTATCATACAAGTTCTGAAGGTTGATGATCTAATTGATGATTGATAACCAATGCAAGCCACCATAACTTATAACCAACACCAAAAGAACTAGGAATCTTTGGAGGAAACTCTTCAAAGTTTGGGATTTACTATATGATTAGAGTTAAGATTGTCTTTTGGTAAATGAATAACAAGAAACTAGACAACCAACTTCCTAACTATTTGTAAATGAATACATGGATACTTTCCAACAAAGATGAACATAATTAGTGATAGAGTGCCAAATTCATTTTTATTAGGTCCGACATTCTTTGATTTTCCACTACATCTCCTGGCCTTACTAATCTCTACTAGTGCACCTCATCTCAACAAAACAACTATAAATCTCCTTTGGACATGTACAAGGATTTTAACTTTATCAGCAAGGAGTAATGTCTGTAACGTGCTGGTTGGCATGGTAAAAAGAAAGCATTGTACGAACAAGGACAAGCCTTTATACTAAGAGGTACAATCGATAAGTGCAATTGTTTGCCCAAACTAGTCAAGATGATTTTACCCCTTGTATTCTGTTATTGATATTGCTCATCTTTTTTCACAAATGCACATATTTCTTATTCTATCCTACTGATGACCTCACACATCATCAATATCATCTACACGAGACCAACATATTAGATATGTCAACATTCCAACCCAAAAAAAACAACTGATGTTAAAACTATTTTTAAATTCTCCTCTTAAACCAAGTGGTTTTCAATAAAGATACAAAACTTCAAAAG